AAACCACGCGCACCCCCCCCCCCCCCCACTAAAACTCCATAACCCCACCCCCCCCCCCACCACAACAAAACGCCAGAAGTCATGCTTATACCCCAAACTGTGAGCTTTAATCTGATAATTTTTTTAAGCAATCATTTTAAAATTAATTGAAGGCTAATAGTTTACATTTTACTGGAATCCGCCGAACAACACTGCCATTTTTTGAAATTCCGTAACGGTAGTTATTTTGACTATAACCTTTGGTCCGCTTGTTCAATCAAGCTCAAATTATTTTTGGTCGTAGAACGCCCTAATATCCGTCCTAATTTCATTGATAAACGGTGCTTCTTTGCCGAGATAAGGGCGAAAACAGAACAGAAGGCGAAAACACGAAATCCCGTAACATTTGGCCAAGCCGAGCTGTAAAATAAAACAGGTTCTTTAGATCAAAAGATAAAAACCGGCTACAAAAGGATTGGTAAATTAGCACGAATCGAAGAAGTAACTAAAATAAAATGAGGCGTTGTGCTTACGATCAGTTTCAAAAGATAGTAAATCAAATTCTGTCCTTTGGTTAAATTCAACTAATTCATTATAACATTGTTGATCTTCATTATCTGTTTCATTCTAAAATCAGAGGAAAAAACAGACAGGGTATAGTGCTGAATGTCAAATTTAAGTACACTACATTGCTTGAGGATTCGTCCTCAGCTTGAAGCTTAATTTCGAATGAAAAACCCGGTTGATTAGTTCTTATTTCAGCTCTTCGAGCACGTCGTCGACTATTACGTACATCACGTCCTAAGATAAAGGACAAAAAACGATTAAAGTTCGAAGAAAAGCAAAAAGAAAGTTTAACTTACTTGAGTAGTGTTGAATAGTAGCACTTGCTTGCTTATTAAGGAAATCCAAACTAATATCTTCATCTGCCATGTGGACTTTACGAAAACAAACAATGTAAAGCAGAAAAAAATCAGAATAATAATATGATAAAAATAAGAAATAATGAAAGTGGCATTTTTCTCGGCTTCTTCTTACACTATGTACTCGAAGAAAAGTCTGAGTAAAACATCGTGGAAACAAACGTAGATAACAAAACGGTGACTGGAAATGTTGAACTAGTAACATTATCGGACACCATCAAGATGACCATC